TCCCACACACACCCCCATACATGCACTCCATCACACACATCCCACACACACCCCCATACATGCACTCCATCACACACATCCCAACACCCCAATACTTGTACCCCATCACACACTTTCCATCACATACCCCAACACACATTCCCCATCACATGCACCCCAGTACACCCCGACACATGCACCCAACAAAACCCCACCCAAACACACACACCCCAACATGCACCCCATCACACGTACCCCAACACATGCGCCCAACACATGCATCCCATCACACACACCCCAACATATGTAGCCCAACACACACATCCCAACACATGCACCCCAACATACCCCAGCACATGTGTTGGAGACACCCCAACACACACCTCAGTGCACGCTCTCCAACACACACCAACACATGCTCCCCAACACACAACCCAACACAACGCTCCCCAACACATGCACCCCATCACACTCCCCAACACATGTACCCCCATCACACGCTCCCAGCTTCCCTGTGTCCTGCTGTGCCACAGAGCTGTCACTGCAGTGTAAGTGCCCACAGCACCAGGATGACCATGTTCCATCTCAGGTCTGTCCTGTTGGCCTCATCTCAGGGCACACAGAGACCATTAGACTGGATGGTGGTGCAGACCCAAGGAGCACGTCCAGCACCTTTGGGGTGTGTGGGGGTGTGTACTTCCGGCTGTCGGCAAGCAGAATCCAGGCTGCCAGTGTGCCCACACACACCAGCTGGGAAAGGCTGAATGAGTGAACCAGCAAATAAGTCTTCTTCCAAGTTGTTGTATTTGTATTTAATCTCCAAAGCTTGCTTTACTTCATTAATTTCAAAGGTTTTTTTTTTTTCTTTTTAGAAACCATAACACTATTTTTCATCTATCCTATTGATAAATTTTGTTTTTGTTTTTAATGCCATGTCCATTGTTGAGGCGAGTTTTGGAAATAGGCCTTCTCCTTAGGCTGCTGATGGGTGTGAAAACTACTGCAGGCTCTGGAGCCCCACATGTTAGAATCCCTCATAATGTGCATGGCATCTGGCTCAGCAGTTTCACATCTGGGAATGTGTCCTCAAAATTCTCATCAGAACTGTGAACAAATGTCTGTCCCCAAGATATTCATTCCATCATGATTTCCAATAAAAAAGAGATACTACATGTCAAGAAAGGCATGTTATTAAATTAATTGTGGAGTATACACAGAATAAGCCAGTGCGGTGGCTCATGCGCCTTGGGAAGCTAGGCGGGAGGATCTCTCAAGGCCAGGAGTTCAAGACCAGCCTGGTCTCAAACATAGCAAGACCCTGTCTCTACAAAAAATTTTAAAAATTAGCTGCATGGTGGCGCATTCCTGTACTCCCAGCTACTCAGGATGCTGAGGGGGCAGGACCATTTGATAGGAGTTTGGCGTTAGAGTCAGCATGACGGTGCCTCCCCGTGCACTGTAGCCTGGGAGACAGAACGGGGCTCCATCTCTTGAGAAAAGAAAAAGAAATAATTAATGGCATAGGAAAATATCAAGATGTATTGCAATAAAGCAGATACCAAAACCACAATTTAGTATGTTATTGAGTTATTTTTTAAAATAGCTATAGAATTGGGAAAAGGCTAGAAAGATATCAAATGGTATATTTCTCCAAGTAATCTGGAATTACTTCTGTGTGATTTCTGTAGTTGGAAATTTTCTGAATTGAATACATATTACTTTTATAATAAATGTCTCAGGAAAACTGAAACATCACAGGAAAATAACCTTCTGACAGTTTGCAGTTAGAGCACCTTTGCATCACACGAGGAAGCTCTGAAGTCCTGGGCCCCACCCCCACCCCCTGGCTCCAGGCCTTTTGCCCCAGTGCCAGGAGGGGATGGCTTCCTCTGGCACTGACAATGATCATGGCATCTGGCTAAATATCTTCATTTTTGTTTACGTGGCTTGTCAGCCTACCCAGTTTTCATCCGTGCCCTTGAGCACGTTGATTTAAACACCAAAATTGAGCCTCATGATTTTCTGTGATTTCAACGAGGGTCAGAAAATAGACTTCCACACAAATCGCCTCTCTCAATAAATTAAATTCATGTGTGCTTTTCTACAAGGGCTTTTCATAACATTAATACCTTTGAATCCACCTGGCTTTCGTGAACCTTGGAGAAAGAATGAACACCCTTTCTTTTTTGTTTTTGTTCACACAAGTACTAGCAGAAAAATAAAAATGTTTATCAGCCACATTTTTCTCCCACTCAAAGCCAGCTTTTTAGAGGCTCATAGGTTAAAAAAAAAAAAATCTCTTCTTATAAGCTATAAACGACCTTACTGAAAGAAGAACAGGTAGAATGTTTGTACTGTTGAATAGTCATCTAAATTTTTCTTCTTGACATATATGAGAAGCATCCATGCAGAGGCATCTTTTAATCTTTCATTTAGGAAGTTATATCGTGTGCCACATTGGGAAGCTAGGGGATCCTGGGGACACTTGGTGTACATGGCCACCTGGGAGAAATCTGTTCCAGTAGGTGGTGAGAAGCAAATGGGAAACTGAGGAATGAAGGAAATAGAGACAAGGAAGGGATTCAGGTCCCTCCATCGGGGCGTTTGGCTCCGGAGAGTGTTGAGGAGTCCATTCTAGGCAAGCGCCGGCACTGTCCCAGAACACAGGGGATGATAACAGGGCTTTCCCCAGCAGAAGCAGAGATGGCAGGTCAATTGTCAGGGAGGGAATGATGGAAGGACAAGGCAGAGTGGCAGGTGGAGGGGCCAGAGTGAGTGTCCTGGCAGTAACTGACCAGGATCCAGATGGAGCAGCCCAGGAGCAGACAGGGGGAAATGCACCTCAGAGCGGGGCGGGCATGGAAAAGCATCTCAGCCACAGGCCGTGCTTCCTCTGACACAGGCGACCTGATGGCCACACACCCCTTCTGTGTTCCCTTCTTTCATCAAACTCCTGTTCCATTGGGTCACATCTTCAGAAAGAGTGATCACAGGCCTGGGAGGAAAGGGTCAGTGCTGCTGACTATAGCAGAGTGGGGGCCAGGGTCCTCCATGCAGTTCCGTCCCACTTTCCTGTCCATCACCCCATCTCTCGGCACTGTACTTTCAGCTGCTGAGTCCTCCTGCTCCCCTCTGTCCCCTTCCATCTGAATTCTAACTTGTCATATTCAACAGGAGAGGCAGTCTTGGAGACAGGGGGCTTCTCTCCTGCTGTGTGAACACTGCAGGCCTGGGAATAGAGGGCGTATCTCACATGTGCGCAAACTGGGTAGGTACCTCCTGCAGGGAGTTGGCCTTGCTAAAACCAGAGCACCCTAGAAGCTGCCCACCAGTAGCTCTCACTTCTCAAGAAGCACGTTGTGGAGTCTGTAACTGAATGGGGTCCCTGAATACTTCACAAACACTTTTCTCAGAGGTAGAGTTACGGCTTCTGCAGGGAAAAAGCAGACTTAGCTTCCTTAGATTTCTTTAAAAAGAATAAATAAACATGCATATAAGCAGGAACTAGTAGGTCCAATTTACTAGGCTCTCAAAGTCTTTCACAAAATTCCATACAAAGTCCACTTTAAAAAGTGGGCTCTTTGAGAAATAGGTTTATAATCATCCTTCTCACTGTAGAGCAGTGATTTTGAAGCAGTGTGCCATGAAATTTTTTAAGATCATTAAGTTATTTTCAAAAGAAGTTCAAAGCACAGTAAGTATATTCTTTTTTTCTTTTTGTATCAACATAATTTCAGTGTGCCATGGAAGTTTACAAATTCAAGTGTACCATGAGGTGAAAAAGCTTGAAAAACACTACTGTAGCATTTTAGTTGGCAATTTCCATTTATATGTGTAACACCATGCGACCTCCTCCTGAGAATCCCACGTCCATGAGCGCCACACAACAGCATCTTCTGACTGGGGTCCCTGAACACTGCCGTGTCCCTGTTGTTGGGAGCTGGGGTCCCTGAACACTG